TAAACAAATCCTTGACTATATGCAAATTATTTTAATTTGTCAAAACAAATGATCATACAAGTAATGCCTTCTCAAGTAACTTCTATATGAAATTGGAATATAAACAATCTTTGTGTATCTAAAGAATAGTATACAACGAATCCCTATGATCAGGATGATAACAGATATGATTTCTAACAAAGTTAAACTGTGGTACTGACTTTTTCCTGAAGCTTACACACATTGTTTCTTCATTTGTGTGAGAAAATGAATAACAAGTTTTGCAATCGCTTATGTAGATTTTTAATAGAAAACACTTCAACTTGCTATTAAGCAATAGGAACTTTCAGAACGACAATGATTGTGATCAGGTCCAAAAACACTACATGGAAAATTTAAGACTGATCAACATGAACCAAAACATTGGTGATCACAGGTCCTCCGGAAGGGTAATCAGATGCTGCTCTACTAGTGGCACCCGTCATGTTATTCACGGTAAGAACATATTCGGGGATAAGTCTCATGCGGTGATGTCATAATCAAGGAAAATAGCACAGATATTCCATAACTGTCAACCAACTCTTGATGGTGTCCGTTAAACTTTCGAATGGATGGTTTCAACTTTACCAATCAGAATTCTTGGTGAAAAATCTTCCTTGAAAGCAGCAACCCTCTATCATAGAAATCATGATAGGAAACGTAAGCTCTTGAATAACGTATCAATTGAGATATATATATATATATATATATATCCCGGCCAGAGAAGAACAAAAAAATTGCTTCCGCAAATTTACAGATCTAATATTGTTAGGCTGTTATTTAGACAATTAATATATATACTCCATATTTAGATGCTGCTGGAACTAGAAGTTTGTCTTATAGAAATGGAAACTTCATTGTTGGGAAGCTCAACTCATCTCGTTAGTCGTAAAATTTTGTTTTTAAGCGATAATGATCATTAATTCTGATCATCACATTTTCCTCGTCTGAAAGACCCTTGTGTACATTTTAGTTTTGAATTAAGTAATAGCTTGATTTGGCCTTCTAACTGTTTTGATTCGAGAGGCACTGATGAGTCGTATGCACACGAAACGATTGTTTGGCGTACGCAATTATAAGCCTGGTAACTTTGTCCCACTTGTAAGAAAAACTGTGCTTTAAGAAGTAATTCGCTGGATTCTTTCATACATTAAAAGATTTAAAGACTGATTAAACAATCGCTTTTATTGTAAATATAAATATTCAATTAATAATCATTTTAATCAACATCAAAATGTGATATTTTATTGATTTTTGGCGCCTCTGTACTCATCAGATTTCAATGTAGATATATTGAAGATGTATACGCCAAATCTACTTTTATTTATGGAATTTAAATATTTGTTTAGTGTAGCTTAAAAGATCAAATACTACTGCGAAACAGTTAATTTGTATCCTGTGTAAAGAAGGAAGTTTATATGCCAAACAAATTATACGCCATATCAGCACTTAGATGTCACGTGCAGTATTCATTTGTCTGCTTGCAGTTTTCACAGTCATTATGAAAATGAAAGGTAAATTGATATTGCATAAAAATGGTAATGTATTCAACAAAATTATAACGTTTGCTTTCATTCCCCTAAAACAATGAATGCTGTCAAGAAAATTATAAAATAAGGAAAAAGATACACAATAATACTCAAATACAAAACAGTATACAAAACATAAAAAAGAAAACTAAAGACAGGGCTACATTAAACCCGGTGGGTGATCTCAGGTATTCCAGAAGGGTTATCAAATCCTGATCCACTTGCGACACCCGTCGTGTTACTCCTGTATAATACAATGATAAAAAAGTAAACAAGACTTTATAAATCTCATGCGTCCGAGGTACTTTTCTGGATTGACAAACATCAGCTGGAACGCTCAAAGCCGAATATTTGAAAGCCAAGGATGTATAAAAACCGAAACAATTGAAAGGGTTTATGATAAAAAAGGACATAAACATAATAACCAAATCCATCTATCCATCTTTAATTTATAAGAAGTGATTAGGCATCACGCAATACCGGATTGGTATTTGACTCTTCACTTACCCTTACATATTATCTCTTTTTTTATAAATCATCGGGCATGTAAATTTTCTAACCATGAAACTTGACAAAAATTTGTTAATGGAAGAACGTTTTTTATTGACAAAGGAAAGACAAGATTGTTACTGATATACAAAACACAAACATCTAAAAAAGAAACACACAAAAAAAAAACAGAACAACACATAGAACCAAAACAAGAGCAACACGAAGCGCTTTTAAACAAAACTAGGGCTGATCACAGGTGCTCTGGAACGGTAAGCAGATCATGATCACCATGAGACGCCGGTCGTGTTGCTCATGCAAGAGCGAACCCGGGGGTAAGTTTAATTCGGTAAGTCAAAGTCGAAGAAAAGAGGACGGGATTGTGGTTACGACAATTGGAACATATCCGTCGTCATCTGTGAAACAGATATTTCATATCCGTCACCCAACTCCGATAGCGTCCGCAAAATTTTCAAAGGGTAGATTTCACCTTCACTTTTTAAAACTTTTGCTTTATAGTTTCCGTGTGAGCAGAACATTCTACAAAGGAAATGATGATAAGAAATGCAGGCTCTGGAATGTTGTATGAAGTAGGAAATACATACAAAATGTAGGCGCTGCTTGCACTTTGCTACAAAAAGCGAAAAGTTTACAATTGGGAAGCTGAAATCATCTCTTTTGTCGTCTGGTTTTGTTCTGAACATTGTCAATTTTTAGATGTCAGTCAAGATATGAGGCAGACATATTTGTTGTATCCTTTATTTCAAGTTTGATGGGATAGATACGTTCAATTTAGTCACCAAATGTTTAGTTAATGAGTTAGAGGACTTGACATTATCTTTATAGCGGAACGTGAAGTAAACGGATATTGCTAGCTTCTTTCCATTCTTCCAATGAAGATCCTGTAGTAATTTCTGCCCCGTATGAATAAAAGAACAAGTCGTCAAGAAGAGTTCTCATATCCAAATATTTTTAATTCTTTCAAAGAGATAATTTGTAATGTTAAAAATGGTCCGATATCAGTGCACACAAAATATGTTTTCTTGAATAATGTTAATCAGGTTCACTAGAGACAACTAATGAGGGAGAATAACGATTTATAATACAAATGAACTCTTAGTTATGGAAATACTACAGCACTGACTACAATGACGATGATACCATTTAAGAGTGAAAATACCCTAACAATGACTCAACTATGACCAACTAAAAGTAATATTATCGTATGATCTTTGAGTACGACATGTGTCTCTAGAATAACCACTAGCAGTAATTCAGCAGTACGATTATTCCTAGCTTTTTAGAAATTATAGCCCTTGGTTCGCAACAATGGTAAGAATTTGTCATCATTGCGGTCAATACTGAAGAGGTAGAAATATTTGTAAATGCAAATTATACATTGGATATACCCTTTCCTCCGAATAAAAAAACAACAAAAACAAAATAGATTATTTAAACCGCCTTGGTGGTCTCATGGTATCGTTTTCGCCTCGTGGGTTCAAACCCCGGCCGGGTCAAACTTTGAAATTAATATTTGATGCTACTGTGCTAAGCACGCGACATTAAGGAGTAAGAGTTGTGGGCTAGGAGTTAGAATAATGTGTCCGGGTAGAGTGACATATCTGCCTGCAGACTATTAACCTTTATCGCACCGCGGGTAAATTATCACGTTGTGATTGGTTTAACGCCGTCACGTGGTGACCCCCTATGGATCCGTAGGGGGTTAGTAAATTTAGGGGGTTCATGACGTCACGTCTACTGTTAATGGTGACGTCATCTATTAATGTTGTTGTGTTTCATTGTTTATTTTTCTACAAAACACAGCAGAAAATGTCCCGCGTGCGATAAATTCGTTATACGGTTCACTACTGACCCCCTACGGACCATAGAGGGTGAATAAAATCCATAGGAGATTCGGCCTACGGCCTCACCCCCTATGGATTTTACTAACCCTCTATGGATCCGTAGGGGGTCAGTAGCGAACCATATAACTTATATTGAACTAGCTCAGGGTGTCGGTCTAGTACAAAGCTGGGTTAATATTGATATCGCATTAACATGTTCCCGTCCTAAATATGTATTTAATTTGCACCTGAACGTTAAACAACTTTCTCTTTTTCAATATCAAATCATACAATTAGCAGACCTTAAGCAGGATAAAACGAACAAAAATATACACCTTCAAGATAGTTTAAGTATTGAATATCATTTAATGCATTATAAACAAACGTTTGTTATAAGTATATGAGAAAATGGCTTTGGGTATACTCCGAAATGAGCCAAAACATCACCGACACTAATATCAATATATACATCTAGAGATCTGCAAACAGTACTAAACAATAGAAAAAAATGCCTTACAATATACCAATAACTAAATCATGCATTTATAAAAACAGATATCTTTTTAGATAATGTATACGTAAATGCGGCAATTCATCTGACAGCAACTCCATACCTGCAAACCTTTGTATCACATGACACGTACGATGGAGTAACACATTATCCGGATGGGTAAGATTGTCAGACTGCAAATCAAAATACTATAAATAACTGTTTATAGAAATTATATATAATTATAAATATGTTGAATTATTCGGGACAATTGTTCGGAATTTCTATTTCTAACGCTATGCAACTTCATATTTGATTTGGAATCGACTGTGTTCGAGCGGCACTGATGAGTCTGATATAGACTCAATTTAATTGGTATATATAATGAATGCAAAGTTCGAAAACGTGTGCCTCCATACTCTGATAATACGGACTTTTCTATCATACCTTGCACTTACAAGGATATCAGACACCTAACTGCAAGCTTTTATACACCATTTGTTTTACCGAATACATATTATGTATTGCCAAGAAGAGCCACATTGCGAAACGTTATTGGAAGACAGATTTTAATTTAGTTTAAAAAAAGCGTCAAAGGTATGTGTTTGTTCTTATTTTGTTTCAGAAATTATTCTCGCGACTGGTTGATTACAGGAGAAATTCTGAATTACTCAATCACAATAGAATTCATAGCTTGTGTTATGGAGACCGGTAATAATAAAGGAGTTTGTATACGGGATGAAGTATTTGTTTACGATGGTACGTAATAACTTTCCTTTCTGACTCAACGGGCATCCATCATTCTTTTTCCCTTCAGTTATCGGTTTGTAACACAAGCTTGTGGAAGTAGATTATCTTGTGTCACGCATTTTTCTAATATTTCAATTTCAATTTAAGCCTGCAGAGATATGAAAGAATTACATGGTTTGGAGACTGAATGGTAATTTCCCTTTTTGCGTAGAATGAATAGCGTTCTGCAATCAAAATCTATTCAATGTAAAAATAGATCATTTTTATTATTCTCTAGATTTTGTTTTTGTTTTTTGACAATTTCATTATAAACAATTTATGATGAAAAAAAAAGTGTGGATTGACACCTTGTCAATTTATTTATATGAAAGAGCATATCACACAGGTAAACTAGACACAACAACTGACTGGGACCCCGCAGTTATCGAATAAGTTGTGAGAGTTCAAATTGACATCGAAAATATACAATTTTTTAATTAATCATGTTTATTGTCTGACCTACACCATTAGATAAAAATTAAAAGAAATCTTAAATGGTCTAAGTATTGGATTAAAAAACTATTTCACATCAGGGACATTAGCTACGATAAAGACAAAAAAGGAAAACATGTTTTGTTTTGTTTCAAACATTGATTAAAGCGGAATATTGAAAAAAATGATTTGCTATAGTCATGATAGCAGTCAGTATGATTCAATTTGGTCAAAATAAGCTAAAACTTCGCTAATGTTTTATTGGCTTGCAGGTCAATAATTCCATCTCATTTGAATTCGTATTCATGCGACCTTCAATTTAACCCTAGGCTGAAGATGAGTTACGATTGGTTTAGGCATGTTTAGTTGTTACAAAAAAACCGTTAACATTGAAAAGTGAAAAAGGGAGCAAACAGAAAGAATCAATTGGCCCACAAAATGTATTCTTATACAGATAAAACGATGTTTTTTTTTTTCAATTTTCAACAAGAAATCAGACTGAGACAAATCTTCATTATACGATTGCAAATGTTTGTCTGTTTTTATGTTATTCATGTTGATTTCAAGTGATATGACCACCGACAGTCTTGGGAGGACATACCGAGGTTTACCTAAATGGCGTCGAGTCTGAAATACGCATGCCATGGTGATACATTATAATGAGTCCATGTATTTTTAGTTTTTTCTTTTGTACTTTTTGTAAATGGGATATACGTTTTAGTATGGTATAAATCAAACATAACAAGGTAAGTGAAATGGGTGAACATGAATTGACAGTTCATGCCCCTTTAAGTGTTTATCGTATTTGTACTTCAAATGTTTATACTGTTTATATCCATGATCTTATTGTTAATGGTAGTCTTTAATGTCAAAAAAGGATTATCTATCAAATATTTTGATAAAACATAAACATTTATCTCTGTATTGATACTGTCCTTTAAAAATCTTGACTTTAGAAATCGATTATGAGGGTCAATTGAAAATTTACTTTACGAAAACCAAAAACAAAATGAAAACATTCCATATTTTCATGCAGACAATTTCCAAAAGCACCTGCATTTTGAATATATATTTTCAGATGATGAAATATTTCCGGGTGTCTGTTTCCTTTAATGATTTCCTCGATTGAAGATTTAAGCATACAAGTAGCTTTTCAACAAAGGTTCTTAGTAAGATAAAGTTCGCTCCACAGGATTTACGGTCGACCTCTATTGAGTATATATGTGAAAGATAACCTCGGATATGTTTCACTTCTCGTTTGTCCGCTTACAAGACGTACATTACAGCGTGCTGCTCAATTGTAACGTCACTATTGTTGACGTAATTCGTTTGGACTCCATCAACCTCTCATACCATTACACTAGAATGTTACAATATTACCAACTCGATCAACCTCTCATACCATTACACGAGATCGTTACAACATTACCGACTCCATCAACCTCTCATACCATAACACTAGATCGTTACAACATTACCGACTCCATCAACCTCTCATACATATAATAGATTGACAAGACCATTAAACTAGATCGTTACAACATTACCGACTCCATCAACCTCTCATACCATTACACTAGATTGTTACAACATTACCGACTCCATCAACCTCTCATACAATTACACTAGATCGTTACAACATTGCCGACTCCATCAACCTCGCATACAATTACACGAGATCGTTACAACATTACCGACTCCATCAACCTTTCTTACCATTACACTAGATCGTTACAACCTCACCGACTCCATCAACCTCTCATACCATTACACTAGATCGTTACAACACTACCGACTCCATCAACCTCTCATACCATTACACTAGATGGTTACAACATTAACGACTCCATCAACCTCTCATACCATTACACTAGATCATTACAACATTACCGACTTCATCAACCTCTCATACATGTAATAGGTTAACAAGACCTGGAAGAAAAACTTCCAAATATAAACAAGAAGATGTGGTATGAGTGCCAATGAGACAACTATCCATCCAAGTCACAATGTGTAAAATATAAACAATTATAGGTCAAAGTACGGCCTTCAACACAGAGCCTTGGCTCACACCAAACAGCAAGCTATAAAGGGCCCCAAAAAGACTAGTGTTAAACAATTCAAACAGAAAAACCAACAGTCTAATCTATATAAAAAACAAAAAACGAGAAACACTTATGAACCACACCAACAAACGACAACTAATGAACAACAGGCTCCTGACTTAGGACAGGTGCATACAAATGCAGCTTGTCAAAGCATACATAAATAGAGACACTTAATCGTTGAATGTTTTGTTCAAGCCAAATGTTACATAACAAAATCCCTTTTTTTCCCCTTTTATTAATGTATTGAATTCTTTCATATAGATTAAAAACTCATTGACATGAATTTACTTACTTTGCATTCAATCAACTTGTCAAGTTGTATAGGATCCACCCACACGGACAAAACAAAATGACGGTCATATAAATATTTCAGTGACAGATGATTCATGATTAGTAATTTAAAAGGGAAATAGTCATACATTTTTGACATTTCAAGGTAAAAAAAGAAAAAAAAAACGGTACTTTAATTAATACTTAACTCATAACATCATATTCTTATCTATATAGTTATGAGTTAACCAACCGTTAATTGTGATAAAACCGACATCGTAATTTTTAGCTGATTACCTTCTCCCATATATTTCGATTCTTTCATATAATTCGACTTTGACCCAACTCATCCTACTGTATCATTGTATTATTATTACTTTCTTTAACGTTTCACTAAAAACACATATATTCAAGGTAAGGTTTAATTCAACGATCACTTTTAATTAAAAAGCGAAAAAATAGAAAATGTCACTTCAAGGAGCTTGCTTCAGTAATCGCCAGATAAACACTGATGAGTGCAAAATCTGAAAATCTTTAAAAAAAATCAAAATATTAATTTTCTTATAAAATCCAGGGTATTTGCAGCATTGGACAGACATAGCCGCTTTTACCCTATAATACATATTTCAAAATTTCCGTGTGATTACGAATATTTGGTTTTGAGTATCATTGGCGAGAAATAAATTTTGCATCCTAGATACCAGCCTTTGAATTTTGTTCGCCGGACGGGCGTTTCGTCTACAAAGACGCATCAGTGACGCTCGAATAAAAAAAATTAAGAGGGCCAAACAAAATACAAATCATATGGCTGTATCAAATAATTTGGTATCGTGTGATGATATGTAAGATACTACTACTGAACATTTACAAGGATGATAAGCAAATATGGACATCAGTAAACTACTAGTAATGGTTCCTCTAATTAATAACAAACATTTCCTTTCGGATAATATTACTGTTATTTTATCATAGATGTTTGAAGGTTTGTAGTCATTTTCGTAAGTAATTCTCCTCATTAATTTTCCTTTGCAAAGTTTCAGTTTCTTGACCATCGTATACTTTAAAGAGCATCTGTTGATTCTCCTATATATTTTTCTTGTTTCATTTTACAGGTACAAACACAAGCGCAACTCTACTCAAACACACTTGTTGTGGACTTGGTGACACAACACCGTTCCAAGTGTATAGCACATACGGTTATATGTATGTTCTTTTTCAAACTGACGACGTAATTACCAAGGAAGGTTTTCGTATAAGTTATATACTGGAGGGAGCGCCAACGACAACTGCACGAGTAATCACAAGTAAGCCATCCGTTCGTCTTATTTAAATAAAATCATTTATATATTGCTGCATATTCAAGCTCGATAAATCTCCCACATAGTATTTAAGGCCTGTTACAAGCACTTTATTCTTTGAAAAAGTAAAGCTAATGAAATCGGTGAAGTGTTTTCTATGGGTTTTTGTGTATTTATTGTGCTGTTGGATAGCTGTATGAATCGACGTTAGGGATAAATAAACTAATAAGAAGTTGGTACTCCATCTTATCGTTGAATATTTACGAAATGTACATCGTCTTAATCTTTGAAATCATCAATGACCCATTGAATAGGCAATGGAAATGTCGTAATAATTCATATTCGTTCTTCAAATATCTATCTGTAATCTTTAACGACCTACTAGAGATTTTCAATAAAATGACATACGTATGTAACTCGACGTACGGACCTAATGGAACTGGTTATCGCCACCCATTGAATTTGGTTAAAATGTCGCTCAAGTTTAAACCAAACATTTCAAGACAAATAAAACCATACACTGGAGGAATTTTCTTCCGTATCAAATAATTTTTACGGGATATAAAATGAAAGAAATCAGGTATTTTTTATATATCACGTGGTTCTCCAGATTCCCGCCTGAATTTTCTCTGACATAAGATCACGTATAGACACGTATCCCTTACCTATTATATTTGAGTTATCTTTCATAGTTTTGATAATGAGATTTATTTTTCAATACACATTGCAGATGAACGCTCCATTATTCTATATTTAAAATGCAAACTTTTTTCGTTATCCGATGTTCTATCTTCTTTTTTATCCATTTATTTATATGTTGTGGTAAAAATATGTTTTAGAAGGATATTTTGCTGACAAGTTAAAAAAATGTCGAAATCATTGTTTTTCTGGATTTGTCTATGATTGATTTAAGTTGAAAATTTAGATAAAGCTATCGCTTCCAATTCATTTTTTATTATAAAATTAATAAATAAAAGATTCTCTATAGAGGTTGTATTTCAGAAGGTGTGCTCGATTAAGGATTGGTCTGTGTTATCTTGTTTATCGGGAACAACAGTTTAAATGCTTTACGAGTCCAAATACAAAAGACATTTCCGGGCAAAATATTTTATATCCCTCGAAGTGCCTTCACTTATAGTATTGTATCCATTTATTGATAAACAATTTATACAGGGTCACCGATTTTTTTAACTGCATAAATCATTGTAGTGCATGTGCATAAGTCAGAAACAAAGAAAAAAAAATAACATAAGATTTCGATGCGCAATGCAGTCCAAACGCACGCTAATATTTTCCTTTTCGGTGTTTTTATTCCAAATGCAGCGTAGAAGATCTCGACTTTGCGCAACGCTAAAGTATAAGTCTCAACAGGATGTTGGATAATAAGTGCTCATTGCATATGTAGTTTGAATATGCATATTCAGGACGAGAAAATGAATATGAACCCGACTTTGTACTAGACCTACACGCTGGTCCAATATTCAAAACATTAGAAACAAGAATATGTGACAGTAACACACCTTGCTCCCTGACATTATCACAATTCCATGTTCAGAAAACCACTTAATCATGTTAATTGAGGCAAAACCTTTATTTGGTATATAATTTTAAAAGTTTCAAAATTAGAACGGGACGGATGAACGGACGGAAAAACAGACAAGAAAATATAATAACCCCTTCGGCCCTTGCTATCATAAAAGAAATGCGAAGGATACCAAAGGGACATTCAAACTCATAAGTCGAAAATAAACTGACAACGCCATGGCAAAAAATAAAAGACAAACAGACGAACAACAGTACACCAAAAAAACATAGAAAACCAAAAACTGAACAACACGAACCCCACCAAAAATGTGTGTGATCTCAGATGCACCGGAAGGGTAAGTAGATCCTGTTCTACATAAAATGGTAATAAAAATAAAAGAATCCTACTCAACAAAACTACAATAAAAAATTCCATGCATGTCTGTGTTCGTTTTTCAGACGTATTTGTTTTAAGTTGCACTCCAAACATTTCACAAAAACAATTTGTGAGCAATGGCGTTAAATTAAAAAAATTATATAAAAAAAAATGAAAAAAAAAATACTGATTTGGTAAAGTGTAATCATGTTTTTCTTGAAGTTGCATTCCAATAAATTCAATATTCCATTTGATAAAATTCCACAGAAAGATGACAAAGTGTGCATCTGTTATCTGTATTATTGAATCGGACAAAAGTATCTTGAAATAAATTATAGAAAAATGCTAAAATAAAGAAGTCAGTCGTGTACACTTTTACATTCCGGCGTGTTTAATTGAAACTCTTGTTTTAACTTCATAACTTAAAAATCAAAAATGAGACTGCCATTTCGCTTCAGATTTTATTATTTTTATTATTTCAAACGCTTAATTTTGATTTTGGTGGTTTTAAGAATATTCCTCATTTGAGTCCTTAATATATGGGTCAAGTGAAAGGACCAAGTAATGATCGGTAAATTTGATTCCGGTAACCGGATTTATTATTCACTTAGAAGGTCGTTGTCAATAAAATCTTCAAAAATCTGATAACAAAATATGTAAAGATTCAAAATAGCAGATTGGGGTCAATTTTTTAATAACATCTATTCCAACATAATGTGTGTATTCAACGAGCAAACAATCATGCAGTCTTTGCTCCCCTCCGTCATGCTTCAATGCAATAGGCCGAGATACGTTGGTTGTGTAGTGTAATGTAATTTTACTGAATCGCTAGTATAACATACCAATTAAAACCTATCATCGGATATGTACTTACCTGCGCAATACAGCATATGCCACAAGCGACGCAGGATGTGCTTACCCTTTCAGAGCATCTGAGATCACCCCTGGTTTTGGATGTGTTCGTGTTGCTCAGTTTTAGTTTTCTATGTTGTGTTATATAGACTGTTGTTTGTCTTTTGATTGTTTTTGTTTGTCATCGCATTGTCAGCTTGTTATTGTCTTATGAGTTTGAATATCCTTTTGATATCTTCCGCCTCAGTATTTAGTTGTTGCGTTTAGAATCCAAACTTTTCCTATTTTCAATTTAAATAGAATTAATGATATATAAGTCTTTTAATCGAATTAAAATATATTCCACTTAAAATTAATGATGTAATACCAGATTACAAAAGAAGTTTCAAAATATTGGCAATACAAATGTCTTTTATGAAGTATAATTATAATCTTATTATCGTTTTAATTCAGTTAAGCGCAATGATTTATATTTTACATAAATTGTGGTCTTTGTCTGTATATTTATTTGACATTTGAAAAAAGATTTATAAAATAATTCCATATGAATGGCTGCAATAAACCTTCTGTACTCTTAATGTCCAGCAAGAAAAAAATGTACTTTCAAAATTATTAAAACTATCTACTGTAAAAGTATTCATTTTCTTGTCAAGTTTTATTACTCAATCTAAATATTGATTGTTGAGCACATATCACGGTTGTACCAAGCACAAGTAACAAAACTGGTAAAAGACGGCCATTACCACAAAGGTCTCTCCCTATATGAAAATAAACACAGACGTGCCGCTGGAATTAGTCGCTATTTTGATATGTCCGTTAAATCAATGGGTTGCAATTACCCGGAGGTAAATTGTTAATAGGTCATCAATTTTCATTTTTTCGATTAGATAACTGTATATATGCTGTTAATCCTTTTAAAACGGGATTTTTACAAGATTTCAATATGTAAATGGGGGATTTTTTTAAATCAAATTGTTGCGACCCCCGTGGAAATCACAGTAATAGCACGTCAAACACTTGTAAGCATTGTAACAACTTATTGTATTATTACATTGAAAATTAAACGGTTCCTATACACTTGACTATGAATTTACAATTTAACTTTTCTTCCTTGTAATACGTGAAACAAGTAAAAATGTCTGTAATAATTGAAAATAGAACTTAAATTTGTTTTTGTTTATATTACACGCAAAAATTATTCAAATGTATTTGGTACCCACACGTGCATACCTTCGACTGAATGGGTGTTTTGTGAACGTTTTATTTAATCGTAGACAGTACATGTATTAATTTATAACTGTAAATTTTTCATTAAAAATCTAGCGGATATCATATTATGATATCATAATATTATAAATCGTAATGAAATAAACGGCAATACTATTAATGAATTGTCATTCGCAGTTGTCTTTCATGTCTTTTCAACATAATCCTATGTTAATGTGTTTGTAAAAAGGAATACAAAATATATTTGACAATTTTAAATACTCGATGTGTATGGCTGTCGCGAGAATGTCGCTTTAATTTCATGACCTCATATTTACATTTTCAGGTACAAACCTTGATAGTAAATTACCAATTTATATAGCTATTGGATGTGCCTTACTTGCAGTTACAGCTATGATAATTATTTGTGTTGTATGCTATTTCAAGTGGAAGAAATCCAACGACAATAAAATCAGAAGCCATGAAAATGATGAAATAAAAGCATAACAGATTCGAAAAACAAACACAAAGAAGAGGAGATCATCATAAGATTTAAAAAAATCTATTACTGTTTTATTAATAGTGATTACCTAATTCGATGCCAATATAAGAGTGTAAGACGAGATTATTAAAATATCAGATGGCAAAATACTTTGATTAAATTGAAAGGATATGTAGGGCATACGTCAATGAAATAGCAATCCCACGACACACTATACAAACGACCAAAAATATGTCAGTATGCAGTATTCAACCAAAGTTATGTGTCACAGTTGTCGTTATTGTCTCTATCAAATTGATTAACAGATTCCTTGTGATTCAGCGTTGAATATAGGACAAAGACACTAATGTTTGATACAATGTATGTCTTTGTTTGTCGGTCCTTATGTTGTTGGGTCAGTGACAACTACCACATATATCTTTTAAAAAAATTATTATTTTAATTTGAAATTTATAAAACTTTTTTTGTTACATTTAAGACATAATTCAAAATGTGTTGTTTCTTTTTGAAAATTGTTGCATTCAGATCTTTAATCGAAATAGCGAATCACATTTTCATTTTGTTAGTTTATAGCTTTTGAATGTATAAATACATTTTGTTGTGATTACAGAACGTGTTTTTTAATGTTAAACATTTGAATTTGATTTAAATTAAATTAACCAAATTATTTTGCATTCACAGATTAGTTAGTTACTGCATATTAAAAGGACTACATGTACAGATTGTACCATGATTAAGATCATATGAAATTTTATATATTGAGTCATTTATTGTAACTATCTCATTCAAGAACTTACAATTAATGTCCATTCACTTTTATGTATCTTGTAAACAGCGACATGGTAAGTTTTACATATGACACCAGCAGTTTTCGCAAGCTATCATTGCTAAAATTATCATGGAAATCCTTCTAGCACATATCGATAATGTGTGATAAGATCGATTATGTGACGGAATTCGATATTTGGTTCCCAATGGTTCACTTTAAAACATTTTATGACAATACTAAATTAAATAAGAGATTGTTCGCAGTAATTGAAGAGATGATTTTGCTATGTATAAATTAAACGCATCAAAGATGCTAGGTTTATAATATTGAACGCCAGAGGCGCGTTTCTTCTACAAAAGACTTATCGTATCGAAAAAATTAAAATGACAAACGAATTACGAAGTTGATGTATAAAACAGTATTAACAAAAAATACCAAACTCGAAGGTAAACAAAAAGGGGGAACTGGAAAAAAATCAAACGTTCGATTATATAACCAACGGTTAACAGCTGATTTGAAACAGGCGTTTTTCGAAGAATAAAATGGTTGATTAAACCTGGTTTCATAGCTAGCCTAACTTCAAACTTGAATTACTGTAAAGACTATGAAAGAACAGCATCGACGCTTGTTTCCACGAAGTTTTTTTTAGAACTCATGATGCGAATATTCCTAATAGAGACGCAGCTGAAAATCATTTGAATTAAGAGCAAATACAACCAATGTTTGTGCTGCTTTGCTACATAAAAAGCTGTTTTCAAAACAAAAAGATACAAAAAACATTCATTCATTTTTCTAAATTATACCAACAGTGAGCCGACTGTTTTGTATTATCCTAATTGCTTACTTTAAGATATTAAGGACCCACATTCATCAGGTAGGTTCAATGATCGAAGGTTTGTGAATTTGAATTGAAAAAAAATCGTGTGGGACAAGTGCCTTTTGCGTACTGTTTTTTTTATTCAATGTTTGTACATATTTACCTCTCATTTACCGAAGAACGTAGGTCAATCCCCCAGATGTCCTTTGGTTTTTCTGTTGTTGGGTTTCTGTGTCACTTACCCTTTTACCAGATCTCCATTTGTCATTTATAATAAAATATACATGGGAGTGAAAAAATGTAAACTGAAACATAAGAATAATTAAATGGTTAGGTCATGTCAAGTTATTTATCATTTTAGTTTTTGTTAATCATTCAGGTTATAAATGTCTGACATGCTACAACTTATACACCACAGCTGGATAAGTGTTTGCTACATTATGTATAAAATAAAATAATAAATTTACCATATATAGGTCAAGGAAATGTAAAAAAGGCCATAAAACTGTCACACTTAAAAGCAAAACGCACCAGAGAAAATATTCTTTCAATATATTTCTCGACCTTTGACTAGTTTTTTTTAAGTAATAAGGTCATAATTTTAAGGGGTTAAAGTACAAGAGGAGACACAGGAAATATCATATGGGTTTAAGGGAATTTGAGTTGACACGTAAGGTATGCATAAGACATTATCATTCTACACCTACAAACTTTCTGATAAATAGAAAATATATAGGTAGTTTTTCTTCTTTTTCCCTGTTTAATCTTCGTAGGATTAGGGAAATTATTCAGCTGATGTTTATGAAACAGATATGCGGTAAAATCGATTGAAAAAATGTAGGTAATCATGTTCTTACACCATTTGAATTTTAGAAATATTGGCGAAACTAAATCTTTGCTATTCTGGGTACTCTTAGCAGAACACAATACAGATAAAGCATAAATAACACAAGTGTACAATAATACTTTAGATACTATAGGTATATATTATGAGTTTAGTTACATACACTCATGCCGATGTTACGATTTTGTCAAAATAGTACGGTGACATGTAAGGTAAAATTTAATGGACCGAAATACCTCACGGCTAATTTTGGTCTTATTTTGAAGATAAATATAATACCCTTTGATTAAGGCATGTCGAAGAGTGCCAAATGGTGCAGATTTTTTAAAACTGTGGTCAAAGGTCAAACGGGAGATTTCAAAATATCTCAATTTTGAACATTTTGGGCAATTTCTCGGTGGTCCCTCATGATAACTGAAATTTTTTTTTATGGAATCATGATCTGAGAATGTTGAACAAATTCAGCTTCTCATATTTAAGACTGATTGACAGAGGTATGTGATGTATACCCCCGCTTCCAACATGTAAGAAAATGAAAAAAAATCTTTATCTACTGAAATTATCGACAAAAAATATTTATATTTATATTTAGCTATGCAAAGATATTTTTGGGAAAGTTTTGTTAAAATGCCATAAAGAACAAAGGAGAAAACAGTACTGTAAAGTCAACACCCAGTCCATGATTAAATGAAAAATTTATGAAATTCATTATTGATTATTTAAAACAAAAAGAATGACGGAACTATAAAAAATAGTCTTAATGCATAAATATCAGCATGACCACAATAGTATATGAATTTTTTTTTATGCAAAATGGTCAATCAGTACAAGAGCAATAGGATATTGAAAACTTGTGTCCCTCTTTTTATAAAACAACACAAACAATATAATATATATGAGACTTGACTAAAACCGATTTTAAAGCCCGATATATATGTGAATTGCAAACAAACACGATTCACAGAGATATTACCATACAAAGGAAGCTTCTAGGCACCAAGACGCACGTCCATTTAAGAAGGTAACGGAATACTAAGAACGAAATATGTAGATGTAATGGTATGTAATACTTCCGAAATATACGATACAAAAATATCTCCAGTTGGTTCGAAAGCGCACTAACCGCGTTAAGGTCGGAGAACACTGGCAGGTTTGGTTTTGGGTTTTTTTTAGAGAAAGAGAGAGCTCCCCAACCACATCAAGTCGGAGGCCACTAGCAACAGACAACATGAAATATTGGGCATTGATATTCATAGTTCAATCATCATCCTTATCGTAGCAATCTTCTAAAACAATCTGACGAGTACGCTTGTTTCTACAATCATCACTGCCCTGAAAACAACAAATGCTTGTGCACGACATATTCTGTTCGTAGCATGCGCAAGATTTGCTACAAATAGTTTTGCCTTTACATGTACTAACAAGGTCATATAAAAAGTCAGAGAAATTGGATTCAACTTACCCTGAAACTATGGAGCTATTCCCCATATCCATATTCCAAAAAGTGATCTAGGTGGTGGTTTGATGATGTAAGCATTCATCTAGACGTACACGAACAGTGAAACTCGAAGAATGTGCTGTCTGAATGATGCCTCTGAAGGAGGTAGTCTAATTAAGGAAGCATCCGCAGATAGCTCTGGCTTCACTCTTGAGTTTATTGAGATCACCATGTACTGATTGAGCATTCCTTCTGGGGTCATACGGATCCGCGATGAATTGTTTTTCCACTGCAACAGATGTGTTAATATTAGAAACAGCTAGATTGACAAATCTTATAATGTATGGGTTTTGTTTCGACGCCTTATGACTGTTTTTTTTGCCAATTCCAAAGAAGGCGTGTCGCATCATATAAGAGCATGAGCAGCTGGTAGTGTGCCAGACATCACTGGTCCAATAACTTTGCATATGTCGTGAACAGGTAAAAACCGTCTTGCGTCTTTGGTTGAAGAAACGCATATACATGTAGTCTGAAACCACAATTCATCTGATTGACATCGGAGGAAAATATCTTATACAAAGAAGTAAAACATAAGTGTCTGCTGGTTTTATTACAATGCGATCTCTGGAATTACTTTTTACCATTGTTCATTAGGAAACAGAGACGGCAGAATAATTCTTATAACTGCATCTTCCTTTGTATACTGAACAACTGATTACAATCACTTCAGATCCGGCACAAAACTGTTTCACAGTCTGTAGATTTTGAAAAGATCCCGCAAAGAATATTTCGTCATGGTCTTGCAAATCAAAATCATTGTAGTGCGGGAGTGCATAGTCACCTGCAAATCTTATCAACCCCTGTTTATTATCGGGTGCACAAAGAAATTTCTTACAATCTCTCATTGATCTGCCTTCAATAACCCGAAGAACCTTAGATCTCATACCATACGAAATAGACCTCCTTATTCTTTCTGCTGGTTTTGTAGAATGTTCCATATCATACGGACCAAACGCGTCCAGGACACATCCGAAGTTTTCAAAACAAGCTATTAGGGTTTTAAAGTCGTCCATAGCCAAATATCCAAAAGTGTTGTACATTTTTACATAATGACTTTGTACAATACCCATACCATCTCTGATCAGGGGTGTACTGGTTTATAAAGCGGGATATCACACACTCAGCTAAGTATCCGACAGTATCACATGAAATTGTGTTGTAATCTTTCTCTATATGAAAATAATTGTCATCTACTTACCAGGCATCATATTTATCAGAGAGGTAGGAATAAATTGTAAAGCTGTAGGAAAACTATATGCTGACAGAGATGGATAGTAATAATTTGAAATTTCGAACGATTGTAAACTGCTTTTCACATTTTTTCCGCCGCATCTTGAAGGGTATGGAAGCAAGGAACAATATGTATCTAGCAAATTATACGACAAACAAATGCTTTTTTTTCACAAACAGATCATCGTGTATATTTTCTGTTAGTTTTTGGAAAACATCATGTTCCGACTGATTTGAAGCATCAGAAGC